CGACAATTTGGTTGTCAGTTTGAATAGTTAGTTGTCAGTTTTAGTAGACCTCAGTGTAATATTTGAAGTTAGCTGTTGTCATCTCAGTGCATGATGTTTTATTTATATAAACAACTTCTGGCTATGTTGGTTCTTAAGAGAATACTTACCTGCTATTCTTCATGATTTTTTAAAAGAAAAGCAAAAGTCCTGCCTTGCAGTTTTTACATATAATGCAGATAAATTTAAAAGTCTGCTTGGAGGAAAGTATTTCTCCTTGTTTTCCAGTGAAAGTGTAGATATAGGATATGTTCATTGTGAATTTCTTTTCCCTGAGTTTCTACATGGGTCCAAGTGAGACCAGTATTTTGAAATAAGATTGAGGCAGGAGGATAGTTGGACTGTCTTTTGACTTCTCTCTGCTACCTAGAAAGAATTTGTTTATTTTCTGTAGGAATGAAAAATAAGCTAACACTTCTTTGTTTTATTTAGTATCAGCCTTAAATTGATACTAGGAATTCAGTATTAGGAACTCATTGGCAAGAGCTTAATATGATAAAGCTGCTTCTATGGAAAATGTGCATTTAATTGTTAGCAATGTTCTTTGATATGCTTTGTATTTTTCTATACTGACAAAACTGAAGGGTACTATTAATTTTCTTTATAAACCTCTACAGTTTGCCTGATTGCAGAGAATTCTGAGATCCTCCTCTGTTGGAGTGTCTTGTTGCGTAAGGCCGTATCACTACATAGCACCATATAACCTACTCGCTTGCTTTCACATACCCCAAGCCTTAACAACATCATACCAGAAGATTTAAAAAAAGGGAAAGAACAAAAATAAAAATCACATAGGTAAGGTAATGTAGGCATGCTGCTTCCATATAGCCACTAGGTAGATTACTATAAAAATACAAAATGAATTATTTAATATATAAATTCATTGAGAAAAATATGAGCGAGACATTGTTACATAGAACTTCATATCTACAGTTTCTTTCCTTGCCTTCTTAAGTTTTCCCACAATAGTTCTTTGTTTTCCTCCCACAGTAAGATATTTCCCAAAGGCCTTCCTGAAGAGTATGCCATAGCAGCCATGTTTCGTGTACGGAGAAGCACCAAAAAGGAACGGTGGTTTCTGTGGCAGGTTTTAAACCAGCAGAATATACCTCAGGTAAGGAATCTTACTTTTGCTTAGGCCAGGGGAATCTTGGAACTCTGTGCGCAAATTTGGGAGCAGATCTAGTATCCAAATACTCTGTCTTTTAGAGGAATCATCAACAGGAAAATTCAAGAATTCTCATTGCTGATATCTATAATATGAGAGTCTGGAGGGTGAGACAATATTAGTTTTTCTTTTTACTTCTAGCTAGTGACAAAGATTAGAGATTTTAAAAACATAATTCCTATTCTCAGGAGCATAGGTCTAAGAGTGTTACTGAACTCAGGTTCAGCTGCTTGCTGCTCATAAGCCAATGATGGAGAGACAAGGGTTAATGGAGAGAAAAGTAGGTTTATTCAAAATGCCGGCATTCTGGAAAGATGGTGGACTATTGTTTCAAAGACCATCTTCCCTCTTTCTAGAACAGTCAAGGAGTTTTATAGGTACACAAGAAGAAGCAGAACAAAGGAAAGGAGGAGTTTGTGATGTGACTCATCTGGGAGAACATCTCCTGGGGTCCTGTTTGTTCCACGATGGTTCTCTCGAACCTGGTCATAGGGGTGATTTATATGTCACCTGATGGAAAATTACAGTCCAGAACTGCAGCCTGACTGCCAGTGGCTGGATGGCTGAGGGCTGACTCAGTTTCTTTCAAGTCAGTGTTTTGCCAGTTAACCAGATTAATGAGGTATGCATGTAGCCTCAGGAAAACACAGTTATTGAATCAGGTAAGAGGGGAAGGAAGCAAAGAAAAGAATGAAAAAAGAAAAATAAACTAGATTGTTAAATCTTGAAAAATATATAGTCACCCTTACAAGGGGATATCATCTAGGAAAACAACATATGAGCATAATCAGAGTGTGACAAATGCAGTGGTAGAGCTAAGTTCTGAGTTGGTAGGCACTATAGGGGCATTGAAAGGACAGCTCCCCAAAATGGGGTATGGGAGAGCAGGAATCTAGGAATACTTGTTGAAGAGATAGCATTTGGGTATAAGGAGGGGTTACAGGTGCTCCGGTGAGGGGAGATGAACCTCAGTATTACTTATTGGCACCATACATTTGGGTTTACTTTTATGCCTATCCATCGGAATGTTTTTTATTTCACCGGTGTTTTAATCTGTTAATATAGTCACAATTTTGTGATGGAAATATGAACCAAACTGAGAGAGTATATCCTCTATGAAAATGCATTTTCTCTGCACCATGCAAATCCTCAAAGGTTAAAGTTGATATTTAAAGTCTCCATGCTAAGAGAAGTGATCATATTTGTATTTTTTTTAAATTAGTAGCATTTAATTCTTAAATTACTCATGCAGAAATATATATGTGTACATATGTACACATATATACTCTTAGATGTTCTCTCAAGAAAGGAGCATGTTACATGCACCAGAATACCACATGGTTTAAAGCCATTTTGTAGCTCGATATTTGCTGTTCTTTAATGTTAACAAATCTGGAGGACACAGGTGTCATCTAAAACATTTTACTAAGTGCCTCAGTTATACTAACATGAGTCTTGAGTTTTTATTTGTGTGCCTTAATAATTTCAAACATTGATTTAAAAATATTTAAGGATAATTTGCATTTTTGCAGGTTTCGATCGTGGTTGATGGTGGAAAGAAAGTGGTGGAATTTATGTTCCGAGCTGCCGAGGGAGATGTGTTGAACTACGTTTTTAAAAATCGAGAACTCCGTTCTTTGTTTGATCGTCAGTGGCATAAACTTGGAATCGGTGTACAATCTCGGAGCATTTCACTCTATATGGATTGCAATCTAATTGCAAACCGGCATACTGATGAAAAGGAGGCTGTGGACGTTCAAGGAAGGACAGTTATTGCTGCACGAGCTTCAGATGGCAAGCCTGTAGAGGTGAGTTGTGATGTTGGTTGTGAAAGAGAACTAGTCAAATTTCTAAATTAAAACAATGTATCTTATTTAAAACTTCTTCCTTTAATTGCTATATAATACAGTGCCTTCTCAACACTGTTTAAATTAATTTGCCATCAGACATGTAAAGGATAGCTATGTATTTCTAACTCTATTTTCACATATATTACCTTCTACTGTTTTCACCCATTTTTCATCCAGCCTGTGAATTTAAAAGAACTAGGTCATGCCTTAAAAAAATAAGGTTATTAAAACTAGATTTTAGTAAAAGTGAAAATATACTACAAAAAGTAAGCTTGGTCTGGGGTGACTGGTTAGCTCAGTTGGTTAGAGCATGGTTCTGATAACACCAAGTTTGCCAGTTCGATCCCCACATGGGCCACTGTGAACTGTGCCCTCCTTAAAAGAGTCAACTCCATTGTAGCATGAAAGCAATGTGTAACCAATAACCATGGCTGTTCCCCAATAAAATTTAAAAAAATAATAATCTTGGTCTAAATGCATGTTTTGAATAGAAAGTGCTGGAAAAAGTTGAACACTAAGTAGTTCCAGATTATCTGGTGTTTTCATTCAAAAACAATAGGTTATTTATTCATCCCCATTATAGCAACTGCTTTGTGTTGCAGACTATTTTTTCATAAGCTTATAATGATTTTTCAGGGTTCTAATGGACTGAAACATGGCCACTAATTTTATCAGTAGGTATTTGGATGAAAACAATTGGATAGTAAAATGCTTTCAGATGAAAAGGTCCTTTAAAAATTACATTTGATGCTCAGATGGTAAAGATTTATTATTGATTTCCCAAAAAAAAGAAGGCCTATAATCTTAAAGAAAGTGAGATATATCTAAGTTTGATGACTGAATATTTTCTTGTGTGTAGAATGATGGGAAAACCCATAAAAATAATCTGAATGCAGGTCACCAGTAGGAATTGCTATTGCTGTTAACCTAAAGCACTTAACAGTTTAATTTTATTTCAACAGTACATCTCTGCACAAATACATATTTGGCCAGCTCATTTTATACACACACACACACACACACACACACACACACACACACACACAATTTTTTCAATAAAACATACTTTTAAACTTTCTTCTCTTAGAGATAGTGAACAAATCAGTGAGAATGCCATAACTATGGCTCAGTGATAGTCAGTAAAACAGGCCAGAGCAGAAATCAATCCTGGAGAGAAGACAACATGGCATACTGGAGAGTGAGCTAGCTTGGGGATCAGACACATGTGGTTGTAAATCTTACCTCATCTACTTAACTGTTATGATCTATTAATTTATCTTGGTAGTTGCTAATTTACCCAAGTCTCAATATCCTCAATTATAAAATACTGTTAGTAGAGTTACTCATTATAATTATATACAGTATGTGCCTAGTACATGGTCAGTTCTCTGTAAATTCATGTGTTTATTCAGGGCCAGACATGGAATTCAATCAACAATGGCATAAGAGAGTAGGAAAAAGAAGGTTTCTATCCTAGCTCTTAAAGATCTTGAAGGCTAATGGAAAGATTAAAGCCTGTGTCAGTAAATGATGGCCGCCGATAATAACGGTATTAATTGTAGCAATACTAGATAGATCGTTCAAAGGCAAGGAAGGAAGTGGAGACCAGCAGCTAGAACTACAGAAACTTCAGGCAGTAGATAGAATATAGGTAGATGGGAAATCAGCTTCAGGAATTCGAGCAACTGTAGTAGGGAGTGGCAAGACCAGAGTTTGGAACTGGAATCTGGTCCTTATAGGATTAGTGAGAGCAAAGTGGGCTCTGGTTCAAGGGGAACTAGAAGAACCAAAGAGTACACTGAGATAAATTTATAACCTTTGGGGGAGAGACAGCAGTGAGAGAAGAACAAATTATTGCAAGAGCTGGGTTTGGTTCAAGGCTCCCCCTCTGAAGGTTGAGTGTGTGTCCTGCGTCTCATTAACTATCTCACACGAGGCAAGAATCAGTCTCAGAAACTGAGGCTGAAGAATATCAGGTGTGTCCTTATAAAACGACATAATGTGAAAATTATACTGTTGCAGTAGTTATGTGGTTTAATATGGAATCAATTCATTTGAGGATAAAATTAAAGGTATATTGCAACGATGCAGCTTTTTTAGGAGATAGTCACTGTTTAAGTTAAACAAACAAAAGACATAGTATTTTATTTTTTAAAGATTCTTGATCCTATTAAAACTTTAAGTGGACTAAATTTTCATTACCTCCTTACAAGCTCTATGATTCGTAAGGCCTGCTGTAATGTGAAAATGTTTTATTTATACAGAATTTATGTTACTGAAAAAAATTTAATGATTGGGTTTTATTTTACATATACTACCCATGTGCTTTTGTGAAAGCTAGGTGACAAATTTTATAAAAAGTTTTTTTTTTTTTTAACAAACAAAATGTGTGACAAGGGGTAGTAAAAAGACTCAGCCCTAAACATCCTCATTCTAAAGCGCTGTGTCAAGGAAGGATTCTAAAGTAAATAATGAATAACAAAAGCATGATTAAACCAAGCCGATGGTAGTTTCAGTATCATGGGTAGTTGATTAGTCTCTAATCCATCAAAAATTGATCATCTATCTTCAGTTAAGTAAAATAATTCATATGAAGGGCTTAGCACAGTGGATGGTACATAATAGAATCTCAGTGTTTATTGGGTATTTTGATAACAATGATGATGATAAGTTTTAGTTAAAAAGAATATTAATTAATCAGTGTCCCCATTCTTCATGCTACATAATGAGTACATTACTGCCTGGTATTTCATTATACTATGTAAGACAATGTATTTAAACTTTATAAATAATAATTACTTCAATAACCTTGCAAAAAGTTATAGAAGATAAATCATTTTTCATTTTATCTCATAATTTTTCATTGGCTGCAAATCTTAGGTTGCACATGAATTCACAAGATGTCTGGAATTTTTAATGCCTCCTCTGAGCTGAATTGATTTTGTTCCTCTCAGTGTAGACTGATAGTTATAGCTTTTTATTTATTTTTTATGTTTTGCTTTTTTTAGTGTTGGGGTAGGGATTTAGAACTAGCTGCAGATATCTGCTTTCAATTATCATAGGATTAATTATTATATTATTACAGTTGGGCCTTTCTGTAGAAAGTACTTATTGACCTCAAGGTAATGTGTAATCTAGCTATTATTTTGGGAGACAAAGAAATAAAGAGAGGCAGAGAGAGAAAGGCAGGGAAGAAGAGTGGGAGAGGGGGAGGTTGGTCCTGACCTATTTTATATGTCAAATCATCATCCTATGAATTATTAATTAAGTTGTTAAATTTTCAACCACAAACTAATTTAAAATAACCTATTTACATCTATCATTGAAATTTTATTACTTGTCTGTACTATTTACTTGCTCTTATGTGGTTGGTTGATCCTGTGCATAAAGGCATGATTGTATTTTCCTTGAACTACTTTTAATTTCATGTCCAAATGCCAAAAAAAAAAAAAACAAAAAAAGTAAATCTGCTGAGCAAATAAATAGAAGAAATCAACTATTTTTGTAAAAAGGTTGTGAATCCTGTTCAAGACTATGCCAACATGATATAAAATCCATAGGTATTAGGATATATGAAAAATAGGTCAAAACTAAATACCTTTTATTTCTTATTGGGAAGTGAGCATCTGTTTTCATGTCGCAAATACATAGGTCTGAAACTACAGAGAAAGCCTTTCCCATCATTTGCTCATACCTTTGACTTGATTTTTTTTCTAGAAAATTTTATTATAAAATAGTACTCATTTTGTAGTCATGTACTTTATTGTAGTGCATAGCAATACTTCTCTTTAATTAAATATTTCTATTTTTATTTTGTGAAACAACCAACCAAAGTTTGCAATTGCTTTCATTACCTGATTCCCTTTATATGTAGATTCATCTCGATGACTGAACCTATGTCTGTTTTTGAAGTGGTCCATAAAATCATGATCATAAATTAATAAAAATATTAAAAACATCTACCAGTAATTTATTTTTATTAGCTTCTTTTTTCTTACCAGTAAAATTACCATAGTTCTTAAGTGTCTAAATGTGATTTTCAAAAAACTAATGATATATCTTACTATTATTTTTTTTAATAGATTGAACTACACCAACTTAAAATCTACTGTAACTCAAACTTCATAGCTCAAGAAACTTGCTGTGAAATATCAGATACTAAGGTAAGTTAATTTTCTTGTCATGTGAAGGATGTAGAATGTCAGTTGCCTAGTCTGTAGAGTTCAAATGTAGGGCAACACTGAATATCTTTTGCTGAAGCCAGGTGAGTAATTTGTGCCAAGAAAGAGACTCCTGTTAGAGCTCTCCCATAGTTTCTTTTCAGAATTTTAATCACAGTGTTTCGTCCTGAACTTCCATAATTATGTCTTCACTTTGGGATCAACATAAATAAAAGAGAATTCATGCTTTTCTCCCTAAACTGTATTCCAAAAGTAGCATCATCATTTTCCAGTTACAGGGGTTTTAAATTTGTGATCATACCTTATTTTCACTCATTTCCCACTTTTACCCTCTCTCCGATCCTGGGTAGTTTTTCTTTGTGATAGGGTTTTTCATCTGCATCTTCCTTTTTCCTGTTACTGCCATGGTCTGCCTTTGCCTCACTCCTGGATTGTTGCATTATTGTGTCTACTGCCTTCCCTGTCTCTGGCCCTTTTGCTTTCCAGCATACTCAGAATAAGTCTCTGAATCAGTCTTTGTATATATTTTTTAACTTTCTTTTACTAGATATTTATTATTCAAAAACAATGGTCTTATAGATATTGTGCTAAAAAACAAGGCTAACAGACATGAATAAGGCACATTCTATGCCCTCTATTCATCTCTTTCTCAAAGCTTTTGTCATTCAGGGTGGGCAACTAAATATAAATCCAGTTTCTTAGCCTCTCATTCTTAATATTCATAACCTCACTATACAGTTATTACTTTCTTATACCTGTCTTCCATTCCAAAAAAGTTCTGAATTCAATACTTTCTATATCTCTCACTGTGATGGTCATATGTGCCATCTTATATTATTAGATATAGTTGTGTTTGTTTTTAATTTATTCAACTACATTTTAAACTCATTGAGGGGAGTTATACTTTTATACTCTTTAAAAAAAATTCCTAATCCTTTATTTGCAGAAGGTAGTTAAAACATTGTTTCATGGCTTGTTGACTTATCAACTACTAAAAGAGAGATGGGACAAAAAGGTGTTTGAAAGGGGCAAATTCTAAAAAGTCTTACAGAAAGAACATATGAAAAGTAAAAGGTGAAAGTGTTTTTCTTTGTGTCTGAGATTTCCCAGAAGGTCTATGCTTACCATCAAAAATTATATGGAAATTTTATCCATATTTTAGTAATTCAAAAATATTTTTAGCTTCTATCACTTACTATGGGTAGGAGAATAACAATGTGACTAAAGCAAGCTAAGTCTTTCAAACTTTTATGTTTTGCTTATGTAACTTGATTTTATAAAGTATGTCTCCAACCTACTATATGGCTTTTATTCCAAGTAAAATAAATGAGGGCCAGCCAAATGTCTTTTTATAAGTATCTAAAAGGATAATTTAGAATACCAGTCCACAGACTTGAAATACCTAGACTTCCTAGAGCCACACATTTAAATCTTCTAAAAATTTTTTATTTTTAATAATTATGCTTTTTTTGATGTAAAAACTCTTAAAATAATAATTTTCTGTGATTAAAAAGTAATATAATGATGTTTCAATATATCCAAATATATCACATAATCCTGTACCATCATATAATGAACATTTTCAACTAGAATTATGAGAAAACTGTTTAAGGAACTATAGGTGATAGATTTGACAGAGTGGTTTGATAATTAAAAGCAGTAACAGGACCTCACAAATTATGAAAAAAACATTAATCATGTTTTAAAAAGGTTATTTAGGAGTTAGTTTTAAAGAACAGAATATAAGGTAGGAATTCACCTCTAACTATAGAAAACAATAACAAAAGACTACTCATTTTCCTGCTGATAATTATTTGGAAGAACATCACCATTTTGTTAATGATGAACAGAAAATAGAAACATGCTACATTTTACAAATAGGAATGTATAGTTTAGAAGATAATTATATAAAAGTCATTTAAGTACATCTGCTATAATTCTAATATCAACTTTTTTTAAATGTGTTGAATTCAGAAAATTTTAATGTACTTCCTTACAAATCTAATTTTGTTCTGAAATTTCAAATCAGACATGTTTTTTTATTAACATTTTATAGCATATTTCAAAGATGAAATTTATCCAAGGTAATCTATAAACAGTTCTTTGCTTCTATTGATTAGATTTTCTGTTTCTGAAGCAGTCAAGTTTCAGAACTACATAGAATGAAGAACAAATATGAAAAAAAGGAGGAAATCAGGAACATTTGCTGAAAATAAATGAGAAATGTGATTAAAATTTTGAGGGCCGATTAATTAATATGTGTCAAATCAAAACCAGAGGTTTTACAAGGGTAGGAGTCCTTACTTGTACGTTTTATGTTCCCTCTAGGCACTTTTTAGAGAGTGTGGACAGTTTTATAGTGAAGCCTCAGAAAGACTTTTAAAGTCACTGAAATCCTCAATTTATTACAGTGAGTCAGTTATCCAGTGCAAAATTGTGAACTCTAACTTGGTCTTGGTTACTTTGGGAAGCCACAGGATTAGGAACTGGTTGGAACATTATTTTATATGAGAATAAATGATTGTTTTGGTGATAACCTTGTTTCATTCTGATGTGATTTTTAGACTTATGGACATGGAAACTTATTAAAATAACTAAATAGCTAATCATTAAATCTGGAAAGAGTCAATGTGGTGAAACAAGTGAGGAGACAGGAAATTAGTCACATTATTCCTGGGTGCTGTTTTTCTTAGAGTTTTTATTGTTGATCTCACAAGAATTAGAGTACTACCCATTTTTTCAAAATATTTTTTTGTTTTATTTTAAAAGTAACATATATTTATGAGGGAAATCTTGGAAAACACAACCAAATTCAAAGAAGAAACCATGATCTCAGCAAATAAATAACCTTTTAGTTTTTTAGTTTTATATCTTGACAGTATTTTTCCATGCATATATAATTTATAGTATACAAAGTGATGTGGGAACCTTTTTCACTGCTTGCAAACACAGAGTTTATGAAATTGCAAATTGATGAAATTGCAAATTCAGAGTTACAAATCGTGGTGAGGAAGGAGCCTGGTAAATGATGGTGAGAGGAAAGGATGTGTTTATCCTCTTTAGACTCTCCATCTGGATTGACTTTTTGAGAAAAAAAAACGTTGCTTTGTAACCAAATTTCTCTTCATGTTGTCCCACATGTTCTGAACCCACTGGATAAGTATAAAATTTGCCATGTTTCTCTTACAATGGAGACTTTTTAATAACTTTGAAGGACAATGGACTGGAATAAGATATACTTTAATTAAATATATAACATCTTACAATGTAAAAATAATTTCTACTTTTATATGCCTTTACAATCATCTTGTTGAAGTAACATGTTTTAAAGGTTCAAATTACATTATTTTATTTTAAATTTTGTTCCCAAAACATATACAGATGTTATTTGTATAAATTATTTTATTGTAACAATGAAATTATTTTAAGTGTCTATTATCGTGCTTGTCATAAAGTCACCTACAATAGTTTTGGAATGTGTCACCAAAACCAACATTTTAATGCATTTCTAGCATATTGTCAGTGTAACAAAACACATAGGGGGCCTAGTGTAAGAGTATGGGCATTATAAACTTTCGCATACTGGTATAAGTTTTGGTTAATTAAAAGGTAGTTCTTACAGGTAACCCCAGTCATCCCTAGTTTGGTGGGAACCAGTGTTTGGAATGTCAGAATGTTTGGAGTTGACTCCACTTCTTAAAGCCGCTTTTTGGATTGTAGTGCCCAGAGCAGGATGGCTTTGGAAGGACTGAATCATCGTCGCTACCCGCTCATGCCAGTAAACTGTCTGCCTATCTGCCAGCAAAGCAAGAACTTAAAGAACAGTGCCAGTGCATTCCAAACAAGGTATGCTAGTTTTAATCTATGTCCACTGCACAGCCACTCCACACGGTGAGCCTGGCCCCTTGAAGGTGGCCCCGGTGCACAGAACGTGTCTTGCTCTTAAGTGCTAATTGAATCAAATGCCTAAGCCACTCAGTCCCTGGGGTGGGTTAAGAGAAGAGGATTGGGGATAGCATTTCCTGGATTTTTTTCTGGATAGTACTGAGCCCATCTGACCTTTTTTTCAAGATGTGACTTAGAATGAGTAAGAAGGTGAAGGAAGGAACTACCTGTATAACAAGACAAGTATTGAGTACTTAACATGTGCCGAGAATAGGCTTCAATTCTGGGGATTCACAGTGGAAGGAAACATAGTGCCTGCTCTTCAAAACATATACAAAGATACTCTACATAGTATTTTCTTGTTACATGGAGACTACTCAGCCAGTATCTGCAAATATCCAACCGGCTATCTCCATCTGCCATAAATTATATGGAAATATGCAAAGGGCTCTGTTAGTACTCAAATAATTTATTTCACTCTCATCAGTATGGTTCCCTGGTCAGGAAAGATGGGCCCATGGACCTACATGAACATCTTTTGTGAATGTCAATGGCAGTCAAGTGGCCTGTGCTAAAAGGCGGCTGAGTGAGCTCTTGATGACTTCCCTCTATGTCCGTACCTGAGGAAAAGAATGAGGAAAGGAAAGCTTGCCCTGTACCTGGAGCAGGATGTCCCCCAGTACTGTGACTTAATGCATGCCCTTAGGCTTAACACATCCTGTTACCACTTCACTCCTGGCTGGAGGAGTGAGGAAACGGGTGAGGCGAAAGCTGAGAGGAACCTTGCATGTCCTCTAGTGGCTAATGTTGTATAGTAAGCTCCACTGAAAGGCAGGTACCAGGTGCATGGTCGCCATACAGGAGCAGCACGTGTCCCAATCCTTGGAGGCCTCCTGGCGGACTGTGAGGGAGAGGAGGGATCCTCATATGCCGGGAGCCGGCTACGCCTCAGTATCTAACATGGCCAAACACACTGCAATTGTGTTTGTGACAAATTCTCACAAATTGTGACAAATTCTGAAGCTCTGACTGAGAAACAGATACTGCTTTATATCTTAAAGAATTTAAATTCCCCTTTGGATGTCCCCCAGTAGGATGAAGATCTTACACCCCTTCTGATAGATATATCACAATAATTATATTTTATACACTAAAGGTAATTTTAGTCACACTACTAGTCTCTTAGTAAAGGTCAAAG